GGGGGAATGAGGTTGCCCAAATAGACAGCATTTGTGGAGCTGATATAAGCTGAAAGGTGAAAATGGGCTTTGCCAAGGAACCAAATGTCATAAAGGAAATGTTCACGCTTTTCAAGAAGACTGAGGAATCATGAATACATTGCTATCCTCTGATTGATTAGCGAACAGGAAAATGGTACAGTCGTAGAGGAAGATCTACTTTTAAAATCGGACCGTTGAGATGAAGGAAAGTCCTAGCTGCAGACATCGCCTACCGATAGACGTCTCATGGAGCTCATCTACTGAATAGTGAATTCTGCACCCTGGTGACGTTTAAAGGGGTGCAAACGGTGTGTGTTTGTCCTGAAGTGGTCGTTTTGTCAGGGAATTTCCAGTTGTGGTTCTTTACAGGTCCTAACTGATGGACCATTTCCACCCTTGAAACCAAATAAGGCCTTAAGAGCCTTTTTACATTATTTTCGTACCTTGTGCGAAACGTACGAAATGAGTTGGTTTGAGGAAATGTTCAATACAAAAAGCTCACTGCTCTTTACTAATTTAACCACGATCTCAACAGGCAAAGAAAATTTGAGAAAAACTATCTGAAAACTTCTGTTGGCCTGTTAGACTACAGTAGTTTGCAATATCGTGCAATCGTTAGGACTTTTACTGGTAGGCCTAAAGCGACTAGTGCGTCATGCTACAAAAATGGGGACATAGCTGAAAAGGGGTTGGGTTTTTTTACACGTTATGTAGAGTAAAACTATTCTGTGAATTTATCTAAAATGAATATCAGACAAATTCCTTTTGACCTCCAAACGTTGTGTACAAATTTGAAATGCAAAACTTCAGTCTGGAGGAAAATGTTAACAAAAAAAGTTGTACAGTTGTTGTTTTTTTATCACCCCGTATACTCTTTTGTTTATCATTTATTATTATTTTAAACTATCCTGATTACTGTTAAAGCATAAAAGGACGTACGTAAGAGTTCTCGTCCACACGCTGAGAGGAAATGTGGGCAGAGATCCAGTGACCTCCGGTGTTGACGTCCTTGACCTCATACAGACGTGTAGCCCCAGTGACGTCAGACGGAGACTTGGAGACATACACGCCTATCGTGTGGTTGAGTGTTCCGCTTGTTGCGTAGTGAAAGTCTACGCACACGGCCCTGATGTCTGCTGCCAGCTGACTCGTCAACAAAGAAGTGAAACGTCTGGAGCTTGTGTTCTGTGGCACGTCAGCGAACACGTACGAACCTGTCACGAGGCAAAAGGTATTTTTAAAATGGTGAAATGGCATAGGTGTAACGCCCCTTTCAACATTATTGGGTTATTTAATTAAGGGGCGGACCTCCGAGCTTAACGTCCATCCCCGAAAGGACTGAGCCAAAAGGGAATTTCATGTAAAATGCCTTTCCCAAGGACACAACATTGGGCTGAGCTGAGGCCTGAACCCACGAACCCACAATATCACCACTACGGGCCCGGTAGCTTAACCACTAGGCTACAGACACCACAACGGGTATGATAATGTATTACATTTCGCTACCTCCGATTTACAAAGTTCTATCTGACATTTTTGGCCATTTTGAATTACTAAGACAATGAGATTTTTAAAAAATCACGTGTTCTACCAGCTCTATCAAAATCGTAAGATAATTCGGAGTTGTCATCAAGATCAGATATTCAAAGAATAGCATTCGAAAAAGTTTGACATGATGTGAAACTCAAAATCTTTTAGGTCAAATTTCTCAAACCTAGGTACTGAGCAAATACAAACTTAGCAATTCTCAGGTTGCGATTTGTGTTAACGCATTGAGGCGACGCTTTTGGTCATTCGAAAACGCTTGAAGTGACACACTGTCTTTTGGGGCACGTAAAAGGAGCATAACTGTGTTATTCATACAGATTTTTCAACTCTTCGTTCTTTTTCTTAAACTGTGAAACGTGCAAATGCTTGTTTCTTATTTGTGTTTGATGGTTCAAATGTGCAGCAACATATCCTTTGACTTGTCGCAGGTCAGACATTTATGTGCCTGCTTCGTCCATAAAGAATTAAAGACTTCTAAAAGATCATTTATAGCCTCACTGTTTTTGCAGGAAAGTTAAACCAGTCTGCCGAAGAAAAAGGCTTTCTGTCCTACACGGCATTTGTTTAAGCTCTAATGGTAGACCTTCTGACAAATATAGACATTGAAAAACAAACTTTTAAACATAATGTCTGGAATTTTAAATGCAGCATTTTTATAAAAACGTCTTGTGAATTCATTGGTTACTTAATTACCATTTTTTCGATTTTAAAAACAAAGACTTGCAACTGTTCGGCGTCATGAATACCTATTCTATTCAAGTCCGTTTATTATCAGTTAGTAGTGTGTGGGATTTTCTTACACAAACGAACGTTGAAAGAATACTTCTTAATGTGACATCTAAAACTTAAACTTTACAAGCAGCATCATTTTGACATCGTCTTGTATGAATTCACTGGTTGCCAGAATACTGGCCCCTCTATTATAACAGCAAATAATTCTATTGAGATTGATTATTCTCATTATTGTGTTCCTTCAGTGTACGTCCGTGTATGTGTTTGTGGTGACTGTGTGTATGTGTGGGTGTATGTGTGTGTCTGTGTGTGTGTGTTTTTGTGTATGTGTATTTGTCTGTGTGTGAGTGTGTGTGTAAGAGAGAGAGAGAGAGAGAGAGAGAGAGAGAGAGAGAGAGAGAGAGAGAGAGAGAGAGAGAGAGAGAGAGAGAGAGAGAGAGAGAAAGTGTGTGTGCGTGTGTGAGCGTATGTGTTTGTGTGTGCGTGTATCATGTGTGTGTATGTATCATGTGCGCGCGCGCGCGTGTGTGTGTGAGTGCGTGTGTGTGTGTGTGTGTGTGTGTGTGTGTGTGTGTGTGTGTGTGTGTCGGTGAGTGTGTTTGCATGTATGTATTTACCATGCCGCACCAAACTTTCCTTTGCGGAGATCGATAAATTGTTATCTTATCTTATCTTATCTTATCTTAATATAACTTTCCACGACTTTGCACCATCATCACCTGTTTTATTTAACTCCTCTGGTTGCCAGTCGTGTGGGATCGGACCCTTTACTTGGTCTGCCCCTCCTCCTCTGGCCCACTTGGGTCCAGCTCCTGCCGCCGTCAAAGACGTGGTCCAAGAACACAGATTGTGGTCAAAGCTGCAGGACGGGGTGCCCCGGGTGTTGTTACTGCACCGGCCAAAGGTGGGGGTGGGAGAGGTGGGGCTCGCAGCTGAGGAAATGTGCGTGCAGGGACATTATTCGCACGTGAATGTAAAACGTTACTCGGATTTTGGCTCTTTTAAATCAAACGGGGTTTTTTTTTTCAGAGACTAGCTAAGAAAATCCAGGTTTCTTGTTCTCTGTTTCTGTATGCGTTTGATTTCCTTCCTTTCTCTGACTATCTCTATTTTTCTTCTTTTACCTAGTTTGTTTTCTCTTTCCCGCCTTCTCTGCCTCTGTTTGTCTGTCTGTCTGTCTATCTGTCTGTCAGTCAGTCTGTCTGGCTGGCTCTCTCTCTCTCTCTCTCTCTCTCTCTCTCTCTCTCTCTCTCTCTCTCTTTCTCTCTGTCTCTCTCTCCCTCTGTCTCTCTCTCCCTCTGTCTCTCTCTCTCTCCCTCCCTCTCTCTCCCTCCCTCTCTCTCCCTCTCTCTCTCCCTCTCCCTCTCCCTCTCTCTCTCTCACTCCCCCCCTTTCTCTCTCTCTCCCTCTCTCTCTCACTCTCCCCCCTCTCTCTCCCCCCTCTCTCTCTCCCTCTCTCTCTCTCTCTCTCTCTCTCTCTCTCTCTCTCTCTCTCTCTCTTGCTTTTTCTCCTTCATCTGCGAAAGTCCTGGTGAAAACCGAAAGATGGAGAACTCAATACCCAAACACATTGAGAGACGCGAAACAACAAAAAGATGGGTAAACAGAGGAGTCGAAGATATGGACATATATGAGGCAGCGTGGTGGAATCAAGCTCTCGTCAATTTTTGGGCATATAGAGTTATTGGTATCATCTTAAAGCCTGATCACTTGTCTTTTTTTTTTTTTTTTTTGGATGAAAAAAATATCCATTTATCTTGAATACAAGTCGAGATATTTGCGAAAGAATTAGGTGGGGGTCACCTGTTTTCAGAAGTAAAATTAGTGAAAAAAATGGCCGCCAAAGATTAGAATCTAGTTATTTCCTTAGCTAAAGAGTCCGCGGTAACTGAAAATTTTCATTTTTTGCGCCTTTAATCAACGTTTTTCATAAAAATCCACACATAAATGAGTTCTTTAAATTGCATGAAAGGTGTTGAGCAAAAACAAAAATTGATGAAAATTCACAAACCTGCGGAAAAATGTTTCTTCATTTTGATTATTTTGACGAGAGCCCGATTCCACCACGCTGCCTCACATATAATATACATCCAAGGAACAAAAAATTGGGCATGCATAATTTTTTAAAAAATGAAATTTATTATCTTGTTTACGGCAAACCTTATGATAAAACACCTTAGTCCAAAGTCCAGAACACAAGAGAGAAAGTGGGTTATTTAGTTACTTTTTTAGAACAGGAGAGATGTTTGTGGGAGCTATTTGTTTGATCACCTCTACAGTTCTAAATAATTATGTTCTTGAAAAAGTTGACGTATAGATTTTCAAAGTATTAATATTTAGATATTGAATTAACTTAGATCACTTCCTTTGAAAAAATCTCGATCAAAGTCAATATACTCCTAACAAAAAAGTGGGCTTTTAAAAAAATCCTTTTTCATTTAATTTCTTGTAAGGGAATAGGGAACGTGTCAATATGTCAGACTCACTGAGACATGTATGTTTAGAGGTGACTAGGTGTGATCAGAAACAAAGACATAGATTCAATCATCATAAACCCTGGAAAAGCGCGCGTGCATACCTGTTGAGGTGGGAATGAATGTGGAGCATGCCTTGCTGGATCTTGTAATCTTTATGTAATCCAGTGCCACAGAACTCTCTTGGGTAACGTTCGTGACTTCAAAGACTACCTTTAGAACATATATTTTTAGAAAGTTACATTTCAATTTAGCATTGCATCTTTTAAAAGTTTTTTTGGGAGCATTGTGTTCCTCTTACATGTGAGGCAGTATCAAAGTTGGATTTTTTATTTAAACAGACTCTTGACACAATGTCTGATTTTTCAGTTATTGTCATAGAGCGGTAAGTTACAAATTGTTACTTCATTATTTTAAAATAAATAAATTCCAAAGAAACATAAGTTGGGAGTACGAAAAAAGACCAATGAAAAGTAACAAAGTCTAGACAATGTGTTTAAGTAACTGACAATAGCAAAACCATGAAAGACAAGAATTTTATTTTATGTATTTATAGTAGAGGGTTTTACGACGCTCGCAAGTGCATAAGGTCATATGAGCGCCAAGGGGTGGGTGTCAACAGAGAAGTCTTT